CTTTAACTGATGCTCCTCCACTCCACAGGGGATTGCTAAAGAGCCCTAGCAACTCAGTACCATGTAACACTAAAAGACTTCCAGCAAGAGAGCTAAGAACGTTAACGACCATGTATACTTGAGCCTCTGCTGATTACCGGGATAGACACGCCTGCCCACCTATTTCTGACATCATAACCAAAATAATCATCTGGCAAAGGAACTCCCAAGAGGGAAGTTTCCTGCACACTCTCAAATGCTGGATAGTTGATTGTGCAGAAATTTGTTTGATATATTTATGGCACCTACTTGTGTGATGCCTTCAAAGAATGCAATGAGCAAATGCCACAGACTTCCTCAAAAATGCACGATGGACCCAGTAAATAATTTTATACTTCTTTGACATTGTATTGGCTTCCCAGAGGCTTACAGTATATGAAAGGCAGGCCACCTGAATTTGAAACAGTATCCTATTGACATAGTTTGAGTTATTGCTTAAAAATAGTTTTAGCCATGTTGTATCCCCCCAATGCAAGTCAAATAAAAGAAATGGATATGGAGGAACTACACACCTGGATTTTGGCAAGTGCTTGAGGATTGATGGAGGCAAATATGCATTTCTTCCTTGTGAGACAGAGAAGCAGCACTGCAGAAGGGAACTGCTCTTCCAGAAGTCTGACCTTCCATCTTGTAAGAACGGTCCCATTGCTCTAAAGGTTTAATGGCATCCAGTTCGTTTGGGGTGAATTTAACACACTGTATTAGCCAGTACGTAAAGGCTCTCCTTTGATATAGGTGATGGTTATGCAATGGATGAGTAACATCACTTCAGAGCACACATCAAGTTTTTCCATTGGAACCACCTGCACCAATAGTCAACATAAAATTCTGAAGGGGAAGCACCAGGCGAGGCATAGATGTGCTTCCTCTTGACATCTTGTACCAATATGCTACGACCAATTGAGGAAGCCGTACCTCATCTTCAAATGACTGAGCTTTCTACTGCAGCTCTTAAAAAACAGTATTTGTAATTGTAACCAGATTGTCCCCCACCAAACACACCATAGAATCTGGTAATAAAGGTAATGTTCTTCTATAAAACAACGGTTTCATAAAACGATCAGAGCCTGGCCCAGTGTCCTAAACACTTACCTACCCCTTAAAGTGTTGAATTAGATTAAAGTGCTGTGGGGACATAACTGATGTAATGTTTCAAAATCATAAATGCAGGAGGAGGGATTTTAAAGCTGGATCATGGAGAGAATGGAATAACGCAATAAAAGCTGGCTCAAACGCTGAGTCTGTGATACTTGATTTATTGTTTTAATATAATGCTGTAAAGGCCATGCTTGAATATACAGGAGTATTTTATTTATCTAATAGTCGTGATCCTAACAATGGGTGTTTAACAATGGCTTTAGACTGAGATGGTGGCACACACAAATGAAACTGGTTTCAGGATGCTCCCCAAGAAAGGTAACACAGCAGGAGGCAGGAGAGATTGAGAGGCTGTGTTTCAGGGGTACCTGAGAGGCCCTCTGAAAATATAATTCCTCACCTCTCCAGCATAGCTCTGCAGCCTTAAGAACTGCCCCAGCCCTACAAAGCTCAGCAAATTGGACATAAGATGAAGGCCCTGGAGAAAAATCACAGCCCACAGGACTGAACTGAACTGACGATTCTGGGTCCTCTCTGAAGCTACCTCCACCAGTGGGGGAAAGAAGGTCACAGGAAGGGAGGAAGAGATCAGCACCTGTGGGTGCCCTGTCTCCATGAAGACCCAGATCCCCACTCCTGAAATATGCCAGAGACAATGCTATGAACCACAAAGCTGAAGTTCAACTTCATTCTGGGGATATTTTCAACTTGTTCTATATTAAGAAATTAGGAATTGGGCTTGATACATTGAGTGACATCCTTCTTTTTTACAAAAATCAAAATCTACCATCCACGAGCTATTTCCACCATCAGCCTGACCAATGGTGGGGTCCGTCACTGCTTCTTTAGCAGCATAACACAGTGGCTAGGAGAAGTTCTGGGTCCAAACCCACTTCTATTCCCTACAAGCCTTGTGACCTCATGCTGATTAGTGTCAACTCTCTAAGCCTTAGCTTCTTCATCCTTACAATGAGGTTAAGAATAGTACCCACTTCATAGAGGATTAAATAAAATACTATATATAAGTGGCAATGTTGGAACGAGAGTGACTCAGGATTTATAACCAAAATTCAATGCTTCACTTTAAAATCGATTCAGTGGGAGAAATTTTTGCTTTGCACTTGGTAGAAGTCCTGTCTGGCTGTATGGCTGTATGGCTCACAACTTAAGGGTCTCAGATAATAAAAAGTCCTCCAGTCACACCTCAAATGCAGCCTCAACTCAGAAATGTAAAGGACCAGTTCCAGCAAATAATCACATATGACTTGACTTCAAATCTTCTCCCTTCCCCAAGCCAGGATCCATTCCATAGGGAATCTGATTTTTCTAGAAGATCCTCTTGGGCAGAGCCCTTTCAAAATGACCCCAGACACAACATTCCAGCCACAATACACACTTCTAACTCAACGTTAATATACTCTGACCTGTTTCCCCACTTCCTCCTCCCTCACTACTCTCCTTCCCACTCTTCCTTTTCAGGCCCAATCTTAATGTGCCCTCAAAATGCCAGCACACAGCACCCTCCAAGTAGTCTCACTGAAGTCCCTCATTGGAGGAGAGGAGGGGAAGGAATTTGGCAGTGGCTCTTCACAAAGAAATCCTTTTCACAAATCCATTCTTTCTATTATTTTATATCCTCTTTGTGGCTTTTCATGCCTTGTAACCCCTGTTCCTTTGAAAATCTTCCATTTGTTCTGGGATCTCCTTTAGGATTTCATATCTACAGTATTCTGGTACTGCTGTTGAAATTTTCAGTTTACCTCCTATCACATGTGCACAGAGTAATTAGCACATGTCTGGCATACAGTAAGCTTCTAATAAATCCCAGAGTTATAAATATTATTAAAATAATATTAGTAAATCCATGAGTACTTAGTTTAAAAAGACTATTTTTAAATAGTATTTAAAAATCCAGAGTAATAATGCCAATACTAACTGACAGTACATAGAAAGCATAATAATGTCAGGCCAGGCGCCGTGGCTCACGCCTGTAATCCCAACACTTTGGGAGGCCGAGGCGGGTGGATCACGAGGTCAGGAGATCGAGACCATCCTGGCTAACACGGTGAAACCCTGTCTCTACTAAAAATGCAAAACATTAGCTGGGCGTGGAGGTGGGCGCCTGTAGTCCCAGCTACTTGGGAGGCTGAAGCAGGAGAATGGCGTGAACCTGGGAGGCGGAGCTTGCAGTGAGCCTGGGCGACAGAGCGAGACTCCGTCTCAAAAAAAAAAAAAAAAAGCATAATAATGTCAAGTTTTAAACACTAATCAGGGCATGTCTTCTCCTTGCTTAAAGTCCTCCAATGGCTTCCCACTGCACTTAGAATGAAAATCTCCTCCCCTTCATTCTCACCCTGGCCCCTGCCCACTTCTCATACCACTCACTTTTTCCCGTATTTCCTTTAACATCATTGGGCTTTTTATACTGTTATTTCTCCAACACCTCAAGCTCTTTCCCATCTCCGGGTCTTTGCCCTCCCTGCTCCCACTCGCTTAAACACTCCTCCCTGATCTCTGCTCTCACTTAGATCCCAGCCCAGAGAGGTCCAAGCTGACCACCCAACTGGAATATATTTTGATGCCTCACCCCAATCCCAGGTACACACAACCTCATTCTTATGAAACATTCTCTTCATAGCATGTATCACAATCTGAAACATTTTCTCAATTTTTCTGTTTGCTAATGTTATGGACTGAATGGTTATGTCTCCTTCAAATTCATATGTTGAAGCCCTAACCACCAGTATGATGGTATTCTGAGGTACAGCCTTTGGGAGGTAATTAAGGTTCTATGAGCTCATGATGGTGGGGCCCTTATAATGGGATTAGTGTCCTTATAAAGAGTAGAGGAAGAAAGGTGAGAGCTTTCTCTCTCTCCACCTGCCATGTGAGACCATAGCAAGCAGGTAGCTGTCTACAATCTACAAGCCTGAAAGAGAGACCTCACCAGGAGCTAAATCTGCTGGTGCCTTGATGGAATTCCCAGGCTCCAGAATTTTGAGAAATAAATGTCTGGTTTTTAAGCCACCCAGTCTTTGGTATTTTATTATAACAGCCTGAGCTGACGTAAGCAGATCATTATCTGTCTCTTTTTCTCCCTCAAACAATGAGTGCATCTCTATAATATCTATCTGAAGAAAAGCTCCTTCTCAAATATGTAGTCATCTCCTAAGCATATTAGATATGATAAGATGATAATTATAACTATTAACATATACTGAGTACTTACATGAGAGGCATAATGATCCCATTTAACACAGCCCTACCAAGAAGATATTATGATGCCCATTTTCTCCTGAGAAAACTAAGGCACAAAAAAGGTTAAGTAAACTAGGCCAAGGTCATATAGTCAGTAAGTTGTGGCATCAGAATTTGAACACAGACTGTCTTGCCTCAGAACCTGGACTCATAACCACCAGGTAGCCTACCATCTTGTATTTCCAACACTCTCAGAGCAGAGCAGAGGTTCTGCCAGTGGAAAGCCCACTGTCTCTAATTACCCAGGCATAATCACCTCTTACCACTCTACCCTCTCCCTGCCTTTACAAATTTGCTGCAAAGCTACAGATTTAAGACTGAATTTTTACATAAATGCACAGAGTAGTCATAAATCTATAAATTTAAGACTCTAAATTTTTACCATTCAAATTCCTTTTAGCTTAATCATCATTTTATGATGTTTCTCTGAAATATCTCTATCAACATCTGCTTGGCACTGGCTTAAATGCTAGACTACAAAATCTGCTAATTGCTTACTTGTGGAATCATTCACACATGTGTTGCTCACCCATGGGATATGACTTCTGTACCAAGTCGACATGAACTTCTCTTGCTTTCTTTGTCCTTTCTTTCCTCTTCTTATATTTTTCTTTTTCTTTTCTTTTTTTTTTTTTTTTTTTAGAGACATGAAGGGGAGACAGGGGCAGAACTGCAGGAGGTGGGCTCCAAAACATTTATTTCTGAGCTTTATAAAAATAATAATAAATAGCACTTATTAAGGACTTCTTGAAGAGATACAGTATAGTGTAGTGGTTAAAACTATGTGCTCTGGAGACAGACATACTTTGAACACTCACTTGAGACCTTGAGCTTGTTACTTCTCCTCTCAGTGCCTCGGCTTCCTCATCTGCAAAATAAAGATACATTCATACTAGAATATTTGAATATTAAATGAGTATAAATATATACACATATATACTGTTTAGAACAGTGCTGGCATAAAAATATTATATAAATGTGATGGCTCTGCCAGGTTGGGGCAAGAGATTGCAAAAAAGGGGATGCCAGAAGAGGGGGTGTCAAAATAATTGTACTGAGAGAGGGGTTCAATTAACCTCTGGACTAGTACAAAGTGTATGAAACATAATCCTAAGAAAATGCATTTATAGCCAGGCATGGTGTAGTCCCAGCTACTCAGGAGGCTGAGGCAGGAAAATCGCTTGAACCTGGGAGGCAGGGGTTGCAGTGAGCCGAGATTGCACAACTGCACTCCAGCCTAGGTGACACAGTGAGACGCTGTGAAAAAAAAATGCATTTATAGATAAAAATATTTGCCTAGTTGAAATGAAACATCACAGTGCAGGTCACAGAGAAAGGGAAGTACAGCATTTTCATTTTGAGGTGGTACAATATTCCTATTGTCTCCCATTTACAATCATGGATTCTAAGTGTCCATAGGTTATTGCTATTAAGCATATAGCTGATACAGAAATTACGCTCTACCACGGCTGACACAAGGTCCCAGCCTTTGCTTGAACAACCGGGCTATGTGGTAGGGTGAATAATGGGCCCTCCTAAAGTGCATGTCCTAATCTCCAGAACCTGTGAATGCTGCTCATATGGCAAAAGGCACTTTGTAAATGCAATTAAATTAAGAATTTTAGAGACAGAGAATAGCCTGGATTACACATGTGAGCCTAAATGGAATTACAAGTGTATTAGTCTGTTTCACGCTGATGTAAGGACATACCCGAGACTGGGTAATTTATAAAGGAAAGAGGTTTAATTAACTCACAGTTCCACAGGGCTGGGGAGGACTCAGGAAACAATCATGATGGAAAGGGAAGCAAACATATCCTTCTTCACATGGTGGCAAGAGAGAGAAATGAGTGCCCAGTGAAAGAGGAAGCTCCTTATAAAACCATCAAATTGCATGAGAACTCACTATCATGAGAACAGGATGGGGGAAACCATCTCAATGATTCAATTATCTCCACCTAGTCCCTCCCATGACACGTGAAGATTATGGAAACTACAGTTCAAGATGAGATTTGGGTGGGGACACAGCCAAAGCATATAGACAAGTGTTCTCACAACAGGGAGGGAGAGGGAGATTTAACTACAGAAATAAGAGACATGATGATGGAAGCAACAAGCTGGTGTGATGAGAGAATGGGGCCACAAGCCAAGGAGTGCAGGCTCCGGAAGTTAGCAAGGGCAAGGAAACTAGAGCCTCCAGAAGGAATGATCCCTATCGACGTCTTGAATTTAGTACAGTGAGACCAATTTTAAACTTCTAGCCTCCAGGACCTCAGGAGAATAAATCTGCACCTAATCACTAAGTTTGTGGTAATGCATTACTGCAGCAAGAGGAAATTCATACACACCAAAACTCCGTTGTGATTACTGTTGACACAGTGGTCCTCCAACTTTGCACCTTAGAAATGCTTATGCCTCAAAACCTAGATATTCAATAGCTAAATTTGAATCATGAATAAAGTTATTATAGAAAAAAAATATAGTAGCTATCAGTTTTTGAGAACATATTACCACTATGCTTTTCCATGTATTGTTTCATTAAATTTAATCCTCACAACAATTCTCTTATGATAGTTGAGCAGACAGGTTTAAAGAGGCTGAATAATTTGCCCAAAGTCATAAAGCTAACTAAGTAGCCAAATGGGGGTTCAGTCCCAATTTGAGTCCAAAAATAATGGCACTGAATTTAACATATAAAAATATATAAAATTTGAGTTTTCTCCCAGTGGTTTTTCTTATGTTTGGAAGGGTCTACTATCATTTGTTTGCCAGCATAAGCTAGTAGCCATAGAAATGAATGGGAAAGAACAAACAATATTATCAGAAAACTTCAAAATTGTCAATGCCTACGATCAAACCCCTTCTTTAAAAACACTCAGGATTTGGATTTGTAATTCTGATGTTACATTGTTTTGTAGAACATACCATTTAGTTATATTCATATTTCTAAGGGTAGTAAACTTGAAAGAATTAAATATAGAGTGTCTTTTGAGGTTGCCTCTTATATATGTGTCTGTTATTATCAGATGCCAGGCCATGATAAGCATTTAATTTTCACAACTATCCTGTGATACTGGTAATTTTTATTTTTGCATTTTACAAATAAAAAAATTAAGGCTTAGAATGTTTTAAATAATTTGCCTAAGGTCACCCAGTTTATGAGCATCAGAGACAGGGCTGGAACTAACGGCAGTCCGATTTCAAAAACTATGCTTTTCTGCACCTCACTGAAAGGAGGATGCCCAAACTTTAACCCCCCACCCCCACCAAAGCATCATGCAGAATATTCCATTCCATCCATGCACAACCTTTATGACCCCTTTTGAAGTAACATAACCTGTTTTATGGAGAGCATGGAGAAAGGCTCTCCATAAAGAGGCAAAAGGAGAGAACCATTTGATTAAATTTTGTGGTGTTGTGCAAAGAACACGGTATCTTCTAGATATGAGATACCCTGGGATAAAATGTTGTCCAATTGTATTGAACCCAAGTGTGTTTACATGTGACCTCAACTCCCTTCCTTGGATCTGTCCTCTGGGGTCACAGAGAACAAGTGTACTCTTCTTTCATCCAACAAGCCTTTTATGTCTTCCCAAGTTTATGTTTGTTTCTGAGCTAAACGTATTCCTGTTCTTCAGTCGCCCTTGATGTGACAAGGTTGGTTTTAGGATACGCCAAAATCAGAGATGTCTCCCCAACTGATTTTAGTTGTGTCATCTCGGCAAGACGAAAGCCTCAGGACATGGAGAGAGTGAGAAGGAGACAGGTCAGAGATCTTGTTTTTGGCTTTATTTTTCCTTTAGTTAATACTATTCAAGATAGTGCAATGTAATATTTAGCTCTCCCAGCCCCCGCTTCCAGCCCTTGGTCAAAGGATTGAAGGGGAGTCATGGCCTCCTAAACTGACACTGATCACTTACACATAGGGGATGACACAGAGGGGTGTCACACCCCACAGCCAATTTAGTGGGCATGACCAGGAAACAGATTCAATGTAAGGAGTACCTTTTATTTCCTCCGCTGGGGCAGAAACGTTTCTACGTCATTTAAGTCATTAACATTTATGTCTAGTGTTCCGAATGCTAAGTATGTGGGAGTTATTTATATCCTAATGCTCAAGGTCGTGGCCGAGGTCTGATTGCAAAAATTCACAAAATTGCAACTTCAGGCATAAAGGGTTAAGGGGCAGATCTTCACAAACTCCACAGAAGCCAGCAAGCACAGTACCCAGGCAAACAAGTGCTACTTAGCATGGGACTGCCATAACCTTCCTGCAGGAAAAGGCACACAAACCTCATCATGAGTCCCCTAAGCACACAGACAATGGTCATACTCAGTTAAACAATCTGTTCCCATGAAAAAGGAAAGATCATTCATTTTTATTGAGCCTCAGTAGGGCCTTCAGGCCTCCCAAAGGAATCTGATCTATGACCCACTGTAGCCATTTCTGTCTTCACCATCTTGGTTCTCCTCTAGTTAATTCCACTTAGAATGGCCTGATCACAAAAGCAATAAAGTCAATATATTTATTATAAAACAATAAATGACTAATGGCACACCCTTTCCTAGGAAAGATAGCACAAGAGAAAGTCATCCCCCTCAAACAAAGTCCCGTAAAACATATTTGTACTAAAAGAAAAGGGAGAAAAGGCCATTCTATGGCTCTGTATTTTACCGCAAAATAGCCTAGTTAAACACATCTGGGCCTAGGATGAAGAGTAACACTCTTCAAGTCAGTCACAAGGGTCTTGACGAGAAATTCAGGACTTCTGAGAATATGCCTTGGGTTCCTGGCGGATTTTGGTGCACTTACCCCTTCCGACCACATGAAGGCGCTCTGTGCTCCGGTGGAGCAAGTAGAGTCAAGAAAGCAGGGTTCAGAGTGAGCCTCTGCTTCTTTTCAGTCTGGGATTTGGCACAAACTCTTTACCCTTCTGAGCTTTGATGACCTCATCTGTGGAAGGGTTATTATTATTCCTCAGGATAATAGTTACCTCCTGGGGCTGTTGTGAGAATAATGAGGTTACCACTAGGACGCACAGCATAGCTTGTGAAACAGGACCAAGGAGCTGCTTCCGCTCTCTCTCCCCCATGGGCCCTTCCAGTTCATTCCACAGGGCTGGCTTTTTCTTGTCCCTGGATCCGATTAGAGCAAGTTTTATAACTCTTCTGGATACTTTCAAGTAATCAAAGAAGGCTTGATTCGGAAATTCCTATCTTCTATCCAATGGAATAAATAAAACTTTCCGTTTTTCCGTTCTCACTCACAACCTCTCCATGTTCACCGCTGGCCCAAGCAGGCTGGCTGCCTGCCCAGGAGAAAGTGGTGTTTGACCTCTCTTTCTCCACCTTGCACATTCGTCCTTTCTCCTCAAACTTGTTAATCGTGGCTTCTTACCCTTCAGGATCAGAAAGTACGGAGACGAGAGAAGAAAAGGGGTCTCCGCTCAGGATGATGAGGCATGCGCCCTCAGGTTCTCTCCCTGGCTTCTCCTTGAATCTCTGAGACGTGCTCCCTCGCCCCGTCGCTGGGCCTTTTTTTTTTTTTTTTTTTTTTTTTTTTCCGGTAGTTTCACTGACTTGGGCAAATGTTTCTCTTCTGCCTGATACTTTGGGATCCTTCTTCACCTCTGTAAACCTGGAACCCCGCCCCCTCCAAGGAGGCTGCCATCTTGCTCAGGATCTAAGATGTCCAGCACTGGCTCAGACATGGCCTCCATCTTCCCCATGGGACCCACTTGCTTTGCCTGGAGAAACGCTGGGAGTGTAGCCCATCCCAAGGCAGCAACATCTCTTCTTCACGCCATTCTCTTAGCAACCACACAGCCTCTTTCACTCTGGATTTCTGGAGCTGAGTCAAGGGCTGGT